GTTGAGACAATGTCGGTGACTTTTGCTGCGATAATCCGGGATGAAAGAGGATGAGACTGGATTAAAAACTAACTCCTGGCCATGACGGAAGCAACCCTCAGCGCTCTCAGTCTTTGATATTTTGGTTATTTTACGTTGCTAAGCCAAAGTCAAAAGTCAATTGCCTGGTCATTGATTTGAACAAATAAAGGCCTTAACGGGCTAACGGGAGTATGAATAACCATACTTAATAACTAACTTAATGGAAAGCTAGTAAGGAATGTCGATTTGGTAATAAATTTTTCAATTTATAAAGAGGGAACCCATAAGATACTTATATAAAGATCATTAGATTAAGAGAGTAACAAGTTATACAAAAGAAATATTTATATAGTTTCAAGGACATATGTATATATCTTCCATTAATTTGAACTAATGAACATATTAACCATCATGCTCTGAAGGGTCTATTTACTTTTATAACTCACTTATAGCTACAAGATTTTCAAGAAAAACAGTCTGCTACTAAGAAAGAAATCTTTTTTCTCTCTTTTTTTCCCTCTTCATATATATTTATTGCGAAAAGCAGCTCATATTCCACCGATTTCATCAAATAATAATTAAAGACTGATCAATATTAAAATATGAATCAAGTAACTTTTTAAATGGTAGTTAAAGTAGCTTGAATGTTTTAAATAAATAACGCGTATTGATTGCGAAAAAAATATTAACACTTCAATGCGAATTTGATAAACAATTGAAATATGAAAGTATTGGAATAAGAAAAAAAAATGCTGTCTAACTTAATTAATAAAAGAAACATACAGCAATCTCTTTTTGACAACGTATTTTATATTTAAAAATTACTTATATTATGGCTAAGCATGTTTTTTGTGTAAAATTATTAGAAATCTTTTAATTCAGGGAAATTTCTAATGTTGGAAAAGACTAAGACAGAAAAGACTAACAACAAATTAAAAAAAAATCATATCATCATTTTGAGTTAATTTTTTTAACATCTGAAGAAAATTTAAAAATTATATATCATTTCTGAGGAAGATACAACACTCGTTTCTTTATAATTTGATAATCTGGATAGTAAGTTAGAGAATCTGAAGTCTAAAACATAAGAATCCAGCATCCAATTTTTGGTTAATAATAATAAAATTGAAAATGAATTGGAAATTGAAAAAAAGTTCTCAAGCTTTGAAAGTAAGATCTGAAAAATACAAATTCAAATACCAAATAATTATAATTTCCCTAACTACCTACATAGGTTTTTAAACGTAAAAACTTTTTTGTAGTTAACAGATGAATAAATACAACAAATAGAAATATAATATTTGCCAAATGAGAATGGATTTTTCGGAATACTGTAAGCTATATTGTAATGACTTTTTTTAAATCTTAAAGGGATGTGTTCAAATTAAAGAATATTTTAAAAGAAAAATATGTTCCCTTAAAAATAAGTATATTCAAATTATTTAAATAAGGACCAGTTTTGTTTTTCAGAAAAGAAAAGCGATATCTTTTTTTGTATTTTTAGTGTTGGACCTCATCGAATATATGTACATACATATATCTTTTATTAATTGAGATTATTGCTTTAGTTCAATATTTAATATTTCAATATTTAAAAAAAGAGAAATATAAGAAAAACACACATGTCTTGTCGCTTTCATTTAAATTAAAATGATTTTATTGATTTATTTCAACTACAAGTAAAATAAAAAAGTATCCCGAATAGCTCGGAATGACTGCCCGGATCTTAAACTATATAATTACAAGAAATTATAAATTAAGAGAAGCACACACTTTCCAAGTTGCTGCTACCATGTGTGCTTAAAGGAAACAGGCAGGCAGGCAGGCAGGAAGGGTGCGAATAGCCACTGCGGTGGGTCCTCAAAGGAGTTGATGGCTTGGCGGGCCTGACAAGCGGCTACCGTTGGGCGTAATTACATATATATGGCTAGAATGGTTGGAATACCCGTATGTGTTAAATTATTTCCCAAACACGTGCTCATGTTCTCGTAATCACATTGAGCTGCCAATTGCGACCCTCCTTTCTTGGTCTCGTAGCCGTCCCGCTTCGGCGCTTCGGCGCTTCCCCACCTAAGTAGGTCTTAATCCTTTTATCGCGTTCGGTGAGTGCGCCGTCAGAGCTGCAGCTCCAGGAGCGGGCGAAGATCTTTTCGCAATGATAAATTAAGCACTAAGAGTGTTTTCGTGTTCCTTCAAGACAATCCACTGTCAGAGCTGGGAGATTGATTGTGGCCCGCTCGAGCCTGGTTCGAGCCTGGCCAGAAGTGCTGTTTGGCTTTACGCTTGAATTGTCAACGCCATGTCCGGCCGACTGCACACCAACAATTCTCAATTCTCAATTCACAATTCGCAATTCGCAATAGGCGATGCACACGTTACGACCCTCTAAGGAAGTCCGTATGACGCAGACACATCGGCTAAGACCAGTTTATGACACTCTTCCAAATTGGCAATCGACTTCCAAGCTGGCCTGCTTGAGAGATGATGCCTTGTTTAACATATTTCCAGAAGCCAACAGGTGCCAATGGGCTGTGATCAATCATGGCGAATCGATTTTTAATTAAGAACTCTTGTTAGCATAAGCCCCAGACCCCAGAGCCCAGGCCCCAGCCCAGTGGAGCGACCACAGCCGACGTTGATTGCCAACAAAGGCCTGTTGAATTCTTCAGCGCGCTCGGCTCTGAGGTCCGCTCGCAGGACAGCAGCGTGGGGCCATGATGTTTAAATTTGTCCTAATTAGTTGACAAAGAACGATGAATCAGCAGAAGAGGCTTTTTTCCAACTCAAAAGCATGCATCATGAGTGTGTGGGTTTTTATTTCGCAGCAACATTATTTTTTACTGCAGTAGTTAGTGTAAATAGTCGGCTGATCTTTAAAAAGCAGTATGAATTCACAACCTTTGAGTAGGGCTTAAGTTAGGGTCAGACATGCAAATAGTTTTCTCGGAAATTTTATGAGATTACCATGGCTTTAATAATAGTTACATTTTATAGATAGGATTTCTATGTTAAAGTATAGGTTTCGTTTGCTCTTAAAAGCATAGTTGATGATTTTACTGAAAAAATTAGGAGTCTCAGCTCTCAGTAATAATGAAATAAGAGTAGGAATTAGATAACATCGCTTTAAAAGTTATGAAAATGTTTTATAACGCCTCAGATTGGAGAAAAATATTGCTGTAATATTTCCCTAAACTATACATACTAGCTTTATTTAAAAACACCAAATGCCCTTAAAGTTGTATCATTTAAGGCTCTCTTGATTACTATTTGAATGCCAAAGAGCGAGCGAAGTAGTGTCAAGTACCAAATATTTTTAAACATTAAGATAAAAAGCAATAAAACAATAAGAAGTATCTTTAAATTTGTAAATGAGTTGTATTTATTGGTAAAATTCCCGATTTCCACTATCACTTCTTCAAAGTCAGTTTTTGAATACGGCAAACTGCTCATTGTTTCATGAACATAATATAATTAAATAATTCTTCTAATAGAGAAAAAATATACCCAGCAACAGCATATTTTCTTCATGTATTGAAAGCGATGAGTTCCTGAATTTGTGGCTATAATTTTGATTGATATCAAGAATGTTCACATCGTTTCAATCACTTACTTTATCACTCTCATCATCCAGTGATATTTTGAAAGGCTGGTAGAAAAGGCATCTTTATTTGAATCGCAAAAATAAAACACTTCTTAGGATCGATAATATTCGAAGCCCTTAAAAGACAAAGAATAATAAGGAAAGAATAATAATAAAGAGTAAATGGGTACGAAAAGTTCTATGAAATCTGCATATTCGATTCAAGATCCAGAGCATAAACAAAAGTTGTTTGTTAGGAAACAAAATATTCCCATCAGAAATCCTGAAGATTAGCTGAAAATATTTAAACGTATTTAAATATATCCTTAAAAGGTGGAACACCATTTTCCATTCTTCATCTTTATATCTAAATGATTATAAAACACTTGTCTTGGATTTCAATTGATTTCCATATTGTCTATATTTTGTGTCATCCATAAAATATACGCGTATGATTATATAAACATACATACATTCTACATGCAACAGTTGTAACTAGGCAGATACAATATCATTCGTAATAACTATTGTACACAATTAAGTATTAGACTTAGTTATATATATTTATATATATAGATATATATATATATAGCTGTATATATTTATGTATATTATGTCCACTTACGACTATGACAAATATGACATTTGTGTTTGTTTGTTTCTGTTTAATTTGCTAGACTTTATACAAAATAAAAACCATTAAGTACTGCTAATATACATTTTGAGAGGTCGGGGTCTCCGTGTCCTTCGCTACAGAGATGCCTCCTAGTGGTCGTTCCATATGACTTAACTAACTAGTTCACTGTATATTCCGAATTACTTTGCGATCGAGTCGCAAAGTGTATAGAAAACAAAAGCAATTTCCATGATTAACTCTATGATTGGGCGCTAAACAAAAATTAAAAGTAGATACATACATAGATACTTACAGGGGTAGCAACTAATAAGTGGGGGAGGGGGTTGGGAGGTGAGGTAATGGTGCCTGAAAATGCTTAGCTTTTGCGGCGATATGGCAACGCTAACAACAAATATTGCAAAGTTTCGAACAGGAATCGAATAAAATAAATATTTAAAAAAATATTTATCCAATTGAAGCAAATTAAAAAAAAAAAATATGGACTATCTGAAGATAGATTTTAAAATTAATATTTTCTATTTAATAAAAATTGTTAGCTGGTCAAAATATTTTCCAAATTAAAAATATAAAACCTTTCTAAATGCGAATCTTTCTAAATTCTATTTGTATACAAAAATCAATTTTTTTTAAATTTGGTGAAGATTTTACAATTTACGAAGAAGAGCAAGAACAATTATTTAACGAAGAAAAAGATAAATTATTCTGTCGCCTGAACCATTTATTGAAATTAATTAATTCATTGAGCATAATACAAAGGTCAAAACAAAAGTATTTGATTTTAATTTACAAATAAAATCCAAGAAATGAGAGTCAAAAAGAAAACAATTAAATCGATCCCTGCGTTCGAGGTTGGTTTTAAAACTAATTGTCTATTAATGTGAAGTATAAAGACTGTACAAAACTGCTTGTGGGGCGGGGGGAGGGGGGCTTAGTTTAGTTCGCTATTGGGGTGGTGGTAGATAATGCCTACAGGGCCGTCAGATCGTAGTCCTGCTTTATATGCTGTAGATTGTTGATGAGATCGGCTTGTTGTTGTTGCTGCTGGTGATGTGGAAGCAGGCCTGCCATTTGATTGTTGTTGTTGCTGAGGTTGTTGTTGTTGTTGTTGCTATGCAGCTGTTGATGCTGCTGCTGAGATCCGGCATAGGCATTGTTGCTGTTGTTATTATTATTGTTGTTGTTGTTGTTGCCATTGCCACAGGGCAGTTGTTGTTGTAAGACATTGGCAGCATCGGCTGAGGCTGGTATGTAGGGCGGATTGCCCAGAGAGGAGCTGACATCGCCAATGCTCTCCAAGCTATCGGAGCGCAGGCACTGCTGTGGAAGAGAGGAGTGAAGAGAGAGAGCAGTGAAGAGAGGAGCTTAAGTGCTTGCCTGTTGACTTTCAACACAAACTACGCACCTCATTCATCACCGGTGTTTGTTGTTGTTGTTGCTGCGGCTGCTTCTGCTGCTGTTGTTGTTGTTGTTGCTGCTGGGCCGCCTGCTTCTTGGCACTCGTACGCTTGGGCTTTTTGGCTACCGGTGTTGGATTTCCATTGGCATCGACAGTTTTCTTTCGCACGTTCTTCGTGTTGGGCAGCTTGTTGTCCTTCTTCCACTTCATGCGACGATTCTGGAACCAGATCTTTATTTGGCGCTCCGACAACACCAGCGTGTGTGCGATCTCGATGCGCCGCCGTCTGGTCAGGTAGCGATTGTAATGGAACTCCTTCTCGAGCTCCAGAATCTGATGGCGTGTGTAGGCGGTGCGTTGGCGTTTTGGCTCCATGCCCGGCTGATATGATCCGTTGGCTGCAAGTAAATAAGGAGCAAAGAAAGGGAAAATGAAAATATAGAAGATGAGGATGCATAATTAATGACTGGCATTGCAGAAACCAATAACGGGCCGGCAAACCCGGCTCTGATTAAGTCGCGAGTGCTGCAATTAATACACATCATACAATTGGGAGTCAAAATAATAACGCTCAATAAATCTCGCAGATAAAAGTTGACAACGAGCCCCCCCCCCAAAGCCAGAGAGCCCGAAAACCGTCAAAGTTTGCGACGCAAAACTTTCGACAACACCTTGGCTCCTGGCCATGCGGAAGGGGTAGCTGCCGGGACGCGGGCAGATGAAAGAACTGCAGTCGCGCCGGGCACGGCGACAGCATAATTAATCAAAATCAAATAACGCAACTGCCTGCCTGTCAAACTGTCTGTCCGTTTGCCCCGCTCCCTCTCTCTCTCTATCACCATTTCCCTCTCCCACTCACTTTGCCAGCCGGGTTGTCTGTCTTTTGCCTTTCGTTTTGGAAAAAAGGACGAAATTACGCGCGAGTATTTAGTTTGGCTCAAAATTAAACACTTCCCGGCTGTTGTATCCTTTTTGTGTTCTCCCTCTCCCTCCCTCCCTCCCTCGACTTCGACTTCGCCTTTGCTTCGCTGGAGTTGCGTTATAAATGCGCGGCACCTGCTCCTGCCGGGCAACGCATCTCGGGACATCAAATGGACAGCGACAGCCCATCAAAATATACTTTCGCACCATAAATTTCAATTTACCGGATTGGGAATGCAATGCAAAACCGCCGCCCTGACGTCGATGTTGATGTTTCTATCAAAGCTCGGGATTTTCTTTTATTTCTTTTTATTGAATATCTGTATTTTGTGTCGGATGTGCTTCTTTTTGCTCGTAATTTATAAAAATTTCGCTTTTATTGTGACAGACAGCTTTCGATTTGATATAAACATTTCATTTGGCATTTTCTGTGTGTGATTTTCTACTCAAACATAGATTAATGATGCTGGAGTGGACTGGACAGTCCCAGTCGTTGACAGCTCGTCAGTGAAGGACTCCCTCCTGACCGGACATGTTGCGATGCTTCGATAAGCATCGCCATGTGGGCGGTTTATTGTGCAAAAATATTTCCAACCGACATGCTAGGGACTTCATTTTTGTGGCATTATAAAAACATTTAAACTTGAAGCTTTTAATAAAAAATATTCAAGAAAATGAAATGAAATTCCACTTAGCTGCAGTGCTGTTGGAGTTTTTTTTATAGCAAAATGTACTCGCAAGTGATACTTGTATATGGAAAAATTGTAAAAGAATCTAAAAATTTTAATTATTGTAGACAATTACAAAGAAAAGAACCCAAGCCGGCATACTTGTTTAATAATTTAAATCGCACTGCATTCTCTTTTATTTTGCTTTTTCATTGAACCGTAAAGTTAATGAGCAAGGAAATGGGAGCAGCGACTAAGTACAGATACTATATATGCACATGTATGTATATAAATATGTGTCTATAAAGTGTGTGTGTGTGGAATAATAATTGCTTCTAAAATTTGTGTAAGTGATAAACATCGTATAACGAAATGAAAGCGTTGACAATCATTTTCTCAATAACCTCCACTCTGACAATTTTCTGTCATTCCAACTCACTGTTCTATGTTTCGAAATCCCACTTCCCAATTCCAGTTATACTTGTATATTAATAAATGCTTATATTACATCATTTTATCCGTTCAACGACATACATATGTTTAGTACATACTACCTATAATGTGTATGCGAATGATACTAAAATGCAACGCAGAATAACAATATCAATTACAAGGCCCCAAAGGAGCAGGGAACAAGGAACATGAACAATGAAAACAACAACAGTAACAACAACACCAACAACAATCGACAATGACTGCGACGTCGACGTCGACGTCATCGGCGGCATGCTGCGTTAATTCGTTTTTAATAAGTGCGTATCATTTCATTTCAACAATTCAACGAAATGCCATCCCATCCTCAGGTTCAATTCCAATTCCACATCCACGTCCAAGTCTCTCAAAAGAGCCTTGTCATGGTGTGAAGCGAGAGAGTGGGGGGAGCCCAGCAGACCAACAACAATAACAACAACAACAACAAAACAACGAGTGCCAATTGCATTTATGGTTGCAAGAAACGCAAATGGCAGCCAATTTATGAAAATGCCGCATCATACAAGGCCAAGGAAATCAAGATTGCAGAAACACACAGAGCCACAACAACAACGCAGCTTATACCTTCATGCGAGTATGTCCGGGGGGAGAGGGAAACTATGCGAAGAGCGTCAGGCTGTTAAGAGCTCGTTGAATGTTTGGAAAATTGGCATTCTCTGGGGAATTGGTGGCGATTAGTGCGTAGGACGGTATTATTAGAAATAACAACAACAAACTCTCTCGCTCACACACACACAAACAGACACTGTTATGACTGAGCGCAGTTTCAACTAATTTTACAAGTATGAACCAGCTCCAGGGTAGTACTTTTGAAATAATTTAATAATTAATTTAATTCGGCTTGCAGCAGCATTCTCTTTTAGCTCAGCTCCAGAATTAAACCGCAGCTGTGGCTTAGTTATTGCTGAATGAATAAATTAATGAATCATTAAATTAAATAAAAATTTAATTAGTGTCTTCAATAGAGGTAATATAACATATAAAATGGCTTTTCTAGGAAGGTGGAAGTTTCTTTAAAATAGAGTTAGCTTCATTATTTTTATTACACGTTGCAATTTGGTTTTGATATTTTAAATTTTCGAAACAAAGTTAGCTTATTTTTCTGTTCTTTATATTTGTCATTTCTTTACAAGGAAACATTCTCAATTAATATTAATATTGAAATTGAAAGGCAATATGTTTGTATATTAATACGATTATCATTTCAAAATTTGGTTATTCCAAGACATGCACTTCAGTTGTTTATTTAAAGAAAACTGCAAAAAAAGATTAACTTTCTTGTTCAATTTCAAAATTGTTATATTGATTTATTTGATTAATTACTTCAATTATTTAAATTTGAATTTCGTATATGCAGGCATATTTAATTTGTCAATTTTCTTTAGATAGTTGTAAATACAAAATAGTGTTGATTGTTGAACCAAACTCATATTCCAATAAAGTGCGTTAAATTGAATTTAGATTTGTGCGAATGGTTGATCATTGAAACATTTCAAGAGTTTAAAATTAGATTTTATAAATTTTTTGCTCAATTCAAAGACTTTTGGCGCCAAATAGTTATAAAATGAGTTTGTCTTGCTGGATCTTTAATAATATTGAAATTATTACAATATTTTTTGCAATTGTCAAGCCCTTCCTAAACTTTATTCTGTTTCCTTTTGAATATTTCGGAACTAGTTCAAGCGCACAACGCTTAAATGTGCTATCTATGTTTCTATTAGAGCGCTACAACTGCCGGCTACTGCCGCTAGTGTTGTTGTTGTTGTTGTAGTGTAATTGTGTTGCCACATGCGCGGCTGTCGGCATGTTTGTCCCATCCGAAAATTTCATATGATTTATCATGCATTTATGACTCTACAGTTTCATTCATACCGAGCCCACAAAACCCGCAGCCCCAGCCCTAGTCCCGCTACGGACCGTAGTCCGACCTCCAGTCCCGAGCCCATGACCGAGAGAGACTGAAACCGAGAGCATCGACTTGCGTGGCGTTGCGTTGCGTTGCGTTGTCATTTCCAGAAACTGTGTCAGACGTTACTTAATAATGTGGTTTTTTTTTCGTCGTTCGTGGGTTAAAGCGCTACGCCAACGAGATATCGCTTTAATCCACCAATTGATCGTCAAGCCATTTTCAGGGCTTATCTGGCGATGTCGATGGTGTTGCTGTTGCTGTAGCTTTTTAGGTGCGGTGTAAGAGTATTTGGGTCGTCTCATCGACTTCCGGGCTTTATAGCGACCCGCAATTTCAATTTCATTCTCACCGAATGCGACCTGTTTGCCAAAAACAAAAAAAAAAAGAAGAAAACTAAAAGCGTAGAGCCAGCAATGATTAATCACAGCGATAGTGTTAAAGTAATGAAAACATTGTACTGCGACCTCTTCGGCCAAGAAATTTGACTCGTGCCAAGTCGAAAACATTTTACGTCTGTCACATTTGATTTACCTGCCCATTCATCAAAGCAATGCTTAGCAAGTCTCGGCAAACCCGTTCCCAAAAAGCACTCGAAGGGAGCCCCATGCATAACGCTCTTTAATTACTCGTTAGAAAATAAACAAATGGAAATCGCATCACATAAATGACAACAAATTATTGTTTGCTTATGCAAACAAATATGACTCGAATTCGCAGCAAGTTTTGCATTTTACATTTTGCATTGCGCATACGCCATGTGGGCCGCCACAACTGTTTTTCTTCATATTTTCAGTTTTATTTTCCTCCCCAGAGTCGCTCTTTAAGTTAATACGGTGAGCACCTTAAAGTGCTGAATTAATGCGAATTGTCTGTGGGTAAGTTGTATTTTTCTTCAGCTCGTCGAGCTCGTGAATAAAAAAGAAAAAAAAAGAAAAAAGGCAAGTCAACATTTCAACAACAGCGGGAGCTGCATCAGCAGCTTGTCAAGTGACTTGCAATTTGTGTTGTGGCACACAAATAAAAATAAACATGAGCTCATGCTACTTACACATGTACCCGATCCGCAACATGCGCCCCATGTGAGTCGAAACAGACCCGCACCCTGCCTACATCATACATACTTAGATCCAAATCGAATACACCACTATATAGTGCTATAGAAGCAAAGCTCAAACACCCGCAGCACTTGGCGCTCTATGCAAAAAGTTCGCTCCGTTTTCATTTGCTAACAATATTCTAATGGGGTTTTTTATATTGCATGAGAGCCTCCAAAACGAACTCTATTGCGTGGGATGAACAGCACATGCGGACTTATACTTACACTATAAGTAGTATACTAAGCTAAGAACTTATGCCATTTACAATTCAAAAGACCATTAATTTAGTTAGTTAAAGTAACATTTAACTT